ACCAGAGTTCCTCTTAACCTGCTGAGAATTTTCACTTTATTGACCTCTATGCACACAAGCCTATATTTAGGAAGTTTAGCTAAACTAAGGTCTACACAAGCCCCGACTGTGAATTGTTCCACGTGTCCTCTAAGGCCTAGCCGATTGTCCTGATGGGAGAGACAGCCTATCTCCAGCCTTGGGCCACCGCAGATACTGCATTGGGTATAGGCCGAGATCTCCCTCTTCGATTTCAATGGTTTGACTGACATTTGCCTTGCTACCTACATCTGTCCTTGTCTGAACATTGTGGACACCGAATAATGCCTTAAAGTTATTTTGATTACTATATATTGATACTAGTGTGAGTCTAGACAACAGATACTCTTTCTCAGTCTACTTATTTAATTACTTGTCCTTTATTTTACTTCAATTAAAATGTTCTATTGTATACATTACTTGCTTACATGACTGGTTTTATTCTGTCTGAACCATACCATAAAGATTGGCAAATTATGTATATTACAAACTATTCATATAATGTTTTAAATTATTAGGGTTATAACCCTCTCTCTCAGTATTCAGCTGAGAATCTGCTCCTCACAGTGTTCGTGGTATTTTGCACAATATTTCTTTCAGATTCTGAGAGTTGAGTAGAAGTAAAAAATAAAATTTTTGTAACTTGCGTTGGTTGTGACAAACATAGTTCCCTGTGAGGACTCCTCTTTAAGGAATGTGTTATTTTAATATTTGCATACTTTTTTTTTTTTCATCCCCATATTGTTACGGAATGACGATTTGTCTAAAAAACAAAACAAAAAACAAAACAAAAAAACGGCAGAATGAAAATCATAGAAAGCACAGAAGCTTCACTAAAACCAAGAATCTGTATTATTTAGAGCATTGCAGGCTTCAATGGCTCCATATATACTGTGTGAACCCAAACCTTCCCAGCACCCCTCCCCTGGATGCTGGACTCACATTGCTAGTTTTTGTATAATGTCTGTGGGGTGGGGACTGGTGCTGGAATGGGAGTAATGGTAAGTCAGGCTTATTGTAAAGTATCTGATCCTGCAAAATTATTTAATTTCCATTTATACATTCTGTTGGCAATAGAAGTATTGAAATACCTGCTTACATTTCTTTTTGGGACACTCGGTTTGTATTTCGTAGGGTTAATTAACCTCTAGGTTTGTCTGTTCAAATAGTTGGGGATTTTCTAATTAAGTGAGTTTCCCTTAAGGGACAAATGTTATTCAGACTGGGTCACCGTGAGTGACAGGCCTTTCAATTACTTCTTCCATGTATTGGGTGTGCGAGCCTTTGAAGTTTCTTCGATTTGATATCCCTCTCGCAGGCCTGCTTTAGGCTCCAGCAATATCATCCTCAAATTCTGAAATATTTTATAATCATTTCACAACTAATTGTTCTGCTTTCATGCAACGATTGCTTATTGACCCCTAAATTCTTAATGATGATTTTTTTTTCTTCTTTCCCTTTTCATTTATTATAGGTATATTGGAGGTTAAGAAGTCTTATTTTATATTATCCCTTGCAGTATTTCCATGTCAATTTAAATAATCAGAATATTCATTTTCAACAGTTTTTTAGAGGAATCCTCTGGTTTGTTTGATAATACAGATTTCTATAATGTGAAATAATGATTTAGTATGTGTCTATAGTGAAGCATCACTTTCTATATGACGTGTTTGTGAATGAAATCAGCCTTTAGATTGCAAATTCAACTTCAGGTTGATAACTCAGACATTATGTAAACTATATAGCCTATAATGGCGCTCAGCGTGTGTCCTGCCTCGAAATCAACGTGGTGGGTTTCCTGTCATCACTGTGTGTGTTTCTGAGCTTTTGCCCACGGGTAATGGAATGAGGAATTTCATTAATTTATTTATTTTTTTGTAATTTTTTTTTTTTTTTAACTGGTCTGATTGAGAAAATGACGAAGCAAGGCCGGTCCCATAAACAGTAACTGAGAATTGTATTTTTAATAATACGAACTACTGCCAAACTCACGCGTTTTTGTTTTTGGACAAATGCAAGTTCGTCAGAATTTTGGGTGATTTGTTCATGTTACCAAACGATGAACGAATGAATCACTGGGGGAGAAAAAAAGCTGAATATATAATCATGGGTAAAACTCATCCATGCAATTTGTTCATGACCTTAATTACAAGGAAGGTGCTCTGAGCACCACAGCTCTTTGCCAACGGCGTTCATTTGCCCAAACCAGGGAATGTATTGTGAATGCAAGTAACAGAGGTCGGCCTAAATAGTTTTGAGTAGAAGGACAATGTTTGGATGGGTCTGGGTGTACCCTGACACCTAGGTATTTCATTCCCTCTGTACACAACTTCAAGGATTCCCTGTCTCTAGGTTGGACTGTGATATTTAGTATCTTGGACTTGATTCAATGGATCTCTGTGAAAAGATCCCGATTAGTGCATGCGCAATAGCCTTCCAATGCTTTCATATGGGAAAGCATAGGCTGGCTGAGATCATCAAGATTGATCATCTCAGCCATGGAGGCTGGGCAAGACAGGCAAGCTGTGGGGAAAAAATAAGTAAAAACACCTTTTCCATGTACTCAAAGGGGGGGGAGGGGAGGGGCAGTAACCTAAACAGACTGACCAACTCACACACACCAAAAATTATAATTTAAAAAAATATATGTATTTTAATTTAAACCTATTCAGCCTCCCTACCTTTGAGAGAGCTGGAGTGGATCGGCTTTCTGCACAGACACCCTCTGATCACATTGCCCGCTTCTTACATTTATGGGTGCGCAAACCTTTTAGCTCAGAAAGTGCGGCATCACCTAAGGGTGGAGTTTCCCAGGTCTATATTGCCAGATTGCACAACCAAACAATTCAACCAGTTAATGGTCAATGTTTTGGCCCGCACTGGTAGGGATTCTAGAAAAGGGATTTAAAAAGGGTTGAAATTTACCCAGGACAAAGTTTTCGATGCGATGAGCCATTGGCCTACATTACGCAGCATTGAGTCTGATTGGCAACTTCAATGTGGCTCTCAATACAGAGAGGAGAGCAACAGATCCTTTGTAAAGGAGATTAATAAGCACATAAATCTTTGTATTTCACTAAATAAGGCGCAGCTCTTTCTGCAATGCTTCCTGGGTTTTTAGGGCCTGCAGGGAGCAGGGCATACCAAAAGATGAGTTTGGCCATCCAGCCTGAGACTAAATCATTAGATGTCAAGCTGGCAGGCTAACCTTCTTTTTTTTTTTTTTTATCCAGAAATGGCCAGACATTTCATCATAGCGTGGATTCTACATACGATCCAAGATAGATTTCCTTCCCCCCCCCCTTTTCAACGTCTGGCAAACAATGAACAATGACTACTCAAAGACTAGGAGATTACCGACCTTTCCGAAAAGTGTGCCATTGAAAGGTAAAGTGGTTTCATCAGCAAAATATTTCAGGCCAGTAATCAACTTAAAACAACTCAATGCCTTCATCATTTACAGGCACTTTAGGAGGGAAGGCATTCATCTTTTATAAGACCTACTCCATCACCGAGATTGGTTTAAGAATGACTATTTGACAGTGCCCATACATCCGGCTTGTCAAAGTTCCTTCGCTTCTGAGGGTGGGGTCAGGTTTGGCAGTTTACTTGCCTAGCCTTTGGCCTAAGCTTGGCTCCTTGGTGCTTCACCAAAGCGTCAAGCCGGTGGTCAATCCTCTTTGCTCCTTGGGTCTACGCTGCATCATCTATCTTGATGATATCCTCCTGTTTTGCATGGAGGCAACTCTGTTACAACCTCAAATGGGTTATACCATTACCTTTCTATAATCTCTGGGTTTAGTGGTCAACAGGAAAAAAATCCTCCCTGACACCAGCTCAGCAGGTTTAGTTCTTGGCATTGGAGGTAGACTCCGTTGCTTGCGTCCTGTGTCTCCTGTTAAACAAAATTCACCTGATCAAAATGGAAATTTGCAGACTCTTTCATCGGGACTATGTCCTCTTACAAGTCTTGTTTTGCCTGGTGGTTCTAATGTCAACATCCATTCAGGTTCATTGGACCATTGGGCAATGCAACAACTGAAGGTGGATTACCTGATTTGCACACCCTCGTATGATCAGATTGTTATCCTTTTGGACGAGGTCAAGACAGAGATGAACTAGTTGGTTTTGCACATGGAGGCCTAGAATGGGCATGCCATCTTCGTCCGTCAACCGGATTTCGTCTTGGAATCAGACACGAACTTTTGGGGCTGGGGAGCGTTTTGTGCAGAAGCCTCTATGGGAGGACCGTAGTCATCGAATGAGGCTTCAAGTCATAGCAGTTTTTGAAAAATGATAGCGGGATCTTTTGCCATTCTCAGTCTGGCCAAGGATCTTCTGAGGACAGACAACATCAAAGCGGTTCATATCAACAGTTTGGGAGTTTGGACATCTATCAGTTTTGTTTGGACCGGAATATTTCACTCAAGTGCAGTATCTTCCAGGAATCTTGAACTTTATGGCGGACTTGTTCTCCAGACCCTGGAAAGATTCCAGTGATTGGATGCTGTACAGATCAGTTTTCCAACATCTGGACCTGCTTAAAGGTTTTTTTCCAAAGCCCTGTTCACCTCGCATCTGTCAAACTCTTCGATTCTTCAACTGGCTGCTGCATCTGGAGAGTTTTGCAGTGGACACATTCCTGCAGCCATGGCTGAGGCATGGCCCTACACTTCTCCATGTGTCATGATCACACGGGTCCTTCATTTATGCTACCAGAAAATCTACTTGATTCTGATTGCTCCTATGTGGCTGAGCCAATTGTAGTATCCAGATCTGCTGGGATTGTCGTTCTTACATCTGCTTCTACTGCCGTCATTCCCGTTTTTCTAATGCATCCATTGGTTCTTTAGGAACGTCTGCCACTCGTAGCTGGGAGTCTTTTCGGGGCTCATGTGATATCTCACTTCTCGCTTGGGATTCCTAGTGTTGCTCGTGTTTGGAAAGGGGTCTTGATACCTTTACAGTACATGTATCCACCATCTTGAATTTTCTGTCTCATGTTTTCACACAAGGTGGATCATATCATTCCCTTAATGTGGTCTGTTCCACCATTTCGGCTTCTTACATTCCTTTCCGGGGGGTGCCTGTTGGTACAGATCCTTTTGTTTTTTCACTTGACGTGCAGTATTGGGTTATCCTGTCCTCCATTTTCATCTTTGTGGGATATGTAGATTTGTCCTTCCAACTACTCTCGACAAAACAGACTCTTTTGTTATGCTTGTATTTGTTTTGTTGCGTCTTGGATATCCATGCTTTTGACGTTGATGGGGTTGCTTTTACTCCTGATGGGGGTCACTTTTTTCCAGATTACATGAAACTGTGTGTGGTTCAGACTCTGTAAAGGTTACTGGGCTCTGTTGTTATTATTGTGCGTTGGATTAGGTGGATCTTATCCTTGGAGGGGATTGATCTGATTATTGGCGTTTACTCTGTCAGGGGAGCAGCAGCGTCTTCTGCCTTTTTCTCCAGGGCTTCTTTGCAAGATATTCTGCGGCCGGCGGATTGGTCGAGAGAGGAGACATTTTGGCTTTTCTATTTTCACCTGTCAGAACAAGCAGCTTTTTTGTTCCATCCGGGCGTTAAAATAGCAAATATGAAGCCTCCTGGCGTGTAATAAAATAGCAGATCATTCTAGCCCAAGGTGAAGAAATAATCCCAATTGTATTAATGACAGGAGGCAAATTTGTTCCCTCTCTTACACTCCCTATTTTTGTGCATTAGTTTCCTGGATCAAAGTGACGTTGTGGTAAGAGGAGCTTGATCCTGTGCAGACGAATCTCTTTACTGAAGTCAGGTAAGTGGGGAAAAAAGGGAGAAGAAGAGACTCACTTTCAAAAATAGGAGTGGTCTGGTGATCATCTGATCCCTAAATAGAAGAATTGCAAACAGAACAAATAAATACCTGTCTAAAAAAACAGATTGAGTTAAATATAAATAATGTCCACATTAATGTAGGTAACTGTCCTGCTACTATCCTTATCTACTACAGGTCTACAGGGATCACATTAGGGGTACGTAGTGTGAGACTTTATTCACTATGGCCATATGTACTACGCTTAATATGTGGACTGGAATAGTATGATTGTTGTGCACTTTGGTATTTACAATGGTGTTCGCTAATACTCAAAAATCCCATGCTTTCCATCGAAATATGCATAACCTCTACAATCGGTGTCAGCCTAAAGACCGCCACTCTTAGTATTTTTTTAGTATGGCAGTGGAGAACACGGTTTAGTGGATTTACCCCCTAGACATATTTATTATTGGTACAATTTAAAATGTAATATTCAAGGATTTCAGGGTTGTATTTACAATGGTGTCAACTAGAACTCATTAATAAATGTGATACTTCATCAGGGATCAGACCATCACCAGGTGGGACCACTCCTATTTTTGAGAGTGAGTCTCTTGTCTTCCTCCTTCTGATATACAGGTGGTCCTCACTTTACGACCTACCTGTTTTACAACGGCTCACACTTACGACCAGCTCTCTAGTGTGGGAATTCAAGGGCTTCCCCACGTTTGAGAGCTGGTCTATGTTCAGGGAATTTGAGGGATTCCCTGCTCTGGTGCGTATGTCTACGTTTGGGTAAATTTCCCCGAACATAGACCTGCACTGGTGCACATGCTCTGTAGCGCATCCTCACTAACCGACCAATTTGTTTTACGACCAGGTCGTATGAACGGAACCCGGTCTGTAAGTGAGGAGTATCTGTCCTAGGGTAAAGCCCTTGGATAGACCTGGTAGGTCCAACTGATGAAATGGATCTGTTTTTTTTACGGATCCAACTTAAATTTTTTAATGTTAAGTGGAAAACAAAGTGTTTTTGTTTTTTTAACCCTGTATTCACCGGGAGTGTGTTTGTATTCCTAACACTACTGTGTTCCTTCAATTATTTATGTTTTTTCCTTCAAAATACTATAAAGATTGTCTCTTTCCTATCAGTTTGACTTCTGGCTTGTTCGTTGGCTTTTAGGCTTCCGGTTTACGTTCCTTAGACTATGTGTTTGGAGTCATCTTTGTGATATGAGGATGTTCTTTCTATTCATGGTTCCAACGAAGAAAGAGGAAATTACTATTGTGCTTTGACCTTTTTATACCCTTTGCTGTTTTTCAGTCAAACTAAACAGTTTTTTTTGGTTTGCTGATGTTTTAGGATGCAGTAGAGTATAGCAAATATTCAACTCCTGTCATTAACAAAATTAGGATAATTTCTTCACCTAGGCTAGAATAATCTGCAGTTCTATATAATGAACAAACAGAAGGATGGGTCTGCACCAATGGATAGAGTAAAAAAAGAATAATAATAATAATTAAAAAAAAGTCCTAATTGGGGTAGTGGTAGTGGAAACAGAGTCCAGTAGAGTGGAACTTAGGTCCTAAGCTGGTCTCTGAAGTTGTAAGGTTCCGTTCCTTGCAGTATTCAAATTTATAGGAGAGTGCGATGAGTGATAAGAAGGATGATGGTGCAGGATATTCCAGGAGGTGTCAAATATAAAGGAACAGGTCTTACTTACATTTAATATACCAGTAATATTTTATTGAGAGCACTATTGCTGTTTTTCCCTCTGTGCTCCTATTTTTTTACTCTATCCATTGGCGCAGTCCCATCCTTCTC